GTTATGTGTGCAAGGTCCTTAGAAAAATGCCTGGCAGACAGTAAGCTCTCAAGAGATCTGAGCCCAGCATAATGATACCTACTTTGTGGAATTACTGTGAGCCTTAAGTGAGATAATGTATTTTAGGTGTTGTCACATAACGAATTAATGGTAATAACAATAAATAAATATTGTCACATATAAAAGAATAGTAGTCACCAGTGGCCACTGAGTTTAAATTCATCTGAGTGTTATGGAACTCAGATATGAAATGTCTGAACACATGACCCCATCCCAGAATTGAGAGGATAAGGTGTATTTGAGGGAAGTTATACACAAGGAAGGTGCTGTGGAAAGTGAAGAAAACTTATAAAGAAAAGAGCAGATAGAGAAGAGAGCCTTAGAAAACAGTTTATCACTGAAGAAATAATGGATTCAGGGTGGGGCCCATGAAAGACAGGCAGATGGAGGGCTAGGAGAAGAGGAAGCTACAATAAGAAAAAAAAAAATTAGGAGAAAGAAAAATGTCCTAAAAATGCTGGAATGAAGGGAACAAGGCCTATGATACTGGCTGGAAAAATGATACAGCAAGAAGGATTTTCTAAGGCCACAGGTGGGGACGCTGGCTGACATGTTGCCAGGTGCCTGTGGTTTGGGCTAAAAGGTACTCTGAGATCCAAACACAGAAAAGCACATAACTCCTCCATATCCCAAAGAAACAAGGAACTAATATGGTCTTTTAACCTGGAATTGGAGAGTACAAGAAGGACAAGATAAAGTCCTTGTGCCAAGGACTTTATCTAAGAGTCAGGAGCGGAGCAGAGCAGAGGCTGGCCAACTAAATGTGGATTGTCTGTCAGGGGGCGGGATGGTGTGTGGAAAAAGCAAGGACTATTCAGTGTGTAACTCGTGGTAAATGAAAAGGATTTAGCTCCATACGTTGGGGCAAACCTAAAGCCACATGAGCAACATATCTGTAGACTATTTACATCAAACACTCAATGACCAGCTACTAGTATGTACCTTGAAGACACTTAGAAGATGCAGGAAAGGCCAGTCCCCAGATGACAGCAGGAAGAAATGTCCCTCTGGGGCTGGGCACGGTGGCTCACACCTGTAATCCCAGCCAGCACTTTGGGAGGCAGAGGTGGGCAGATCACGAGGTCAGGAGACCAAGACCGCCCTGGCTAACATGGTGAAACCCCGTCTCTACTAAACATACAAAAAATTAGCCAGGCATGGTGGTGGACACCTGTAGTCCCAGCTACTTGGGAGGCTGAGGCAGGAGAATGGCGTGAACCCAAGAGCTTGCAGTGAGCAGAGATCGCACCACTGCACTCCAGCCTGAGTAACAAAGCGAGACTCCATCTCAAAAAAATAAAATAAAATAAAAAAGTCCCTCTGGGTAGGGGCAGTAAGGAATAACTTAGGCCACTCAGGGGATAGGACGGGGAGTCTTGCCCCATTTTGACAAATAATGGTCTATGTGGTCCCCTGGCTTTTCTAGGTTGATAGGGAGAAAAGGAAAACTGTTTTTCCACAGTTTTGGTGGAGAGAAACAGAGGGGGAAAAAAACAAAAATCTTATGAAGAAATGATCCCTTCCCCATTGTTTGCATTTTTAGAAATTATTTAATATGTCTGAATACTTAATATTTCTTTATCATTTCCTTATCTTCTACAGTGGTAAATCCCATTATCTCACTGGTAAGCTACTCTCCTAGCTATTCCCAGTCTTAGATACACTAACAAATACAGCGTTAGTACAACCAACAGCAATCACAGAGCATTAATGAGTCTACTCCTGATCTCAGACTGGTAACTCTCAGGCAGCCCTGGATTCAATATTCCTTCTGATGAAGGCTCTGAGGAGAGACTCCTGAAGGAAGCAAGAATACCTACCAGCACACTCCTCCAGGGAACACAGGGAGGTCTCCAAGGACATTCCAGGGCAGCCAGGTCTGGAGGGGAAGGAAGTGAGACACACTCGGCGACGCTCTCTGACACCATCCCCACATGTGGCACTACACTGGCTCCACGGCTGCCACACTCCCCAAGTTTCTGCAAGGATATAAGTTATGCTTTTAATGCTAGTTCATTTGAGAATCAGTATTTAACTGCACCCAAATGAAACAGCAAAACTCAAATCTCAGGTCTTGAAAAGTCTGTAAGTTGAAGTGTTCCCAGAGATGAAGAAAGCTGAAAAGTGTTGCTCCTAACTTTAAAACAAAGAAAAGCTGTATAATTTATAAAGTCTTAACCTTTCCAGAACCCAAAAAAGAGCTGAGGTTGCAGGACTACTTAACTATCCTGCAATATAAGGAAAGATAGGATCCTCCAAGGAAAAATGAGATGCAACTCTTGTTTACCAGGGGCAGACACCAGGCTGCATACAAGGTGGTGAGAAAAGTTCACCTAAAAATGTAATGAACTGCCAAAAGCCTAGTGGGCTAGCACAGAATATAGAACCCCTATGACTCACATACACAAGCAGAATTTATACCCACTTGCAGACTCTTCTCCACGGATCTCATCAAATACAGGAAGCACTGGGGCAGGTGCAAGACCAGACAAAGCCTCCCTCGTGGTGGAGGCCCAAGGAGGGAAGGGGAAGCACTGTGGAAAAGACACAGAGCCTCACCTGTCCTCTCTCCATTTCCTCTACTGAATAAAAGCTTCAACCACTTGGGGAAAGGCCTCAAACCCTATTATCCTAAGAGTACCAGTTGATATCAACTGCTTCTAGAGAATGGAAAAAGAAACTCCTTCACCCTTGGGGAAGAGCCAAAACTATCGTGGACCCACACTATTAGAGATCTTCTACTACTGGGGAGGGGCGGGATCATCAAGAAGGTCCCATTCCTGAAACTTAGGAACACAGCACTTGCCTAAGACTGAGGCTGAACTAGTACAAGGGAATGCCCTCCCTCTACTCCAGGCTAGCAAGTGCCAAGTATCAAGTAACAACAGTCGACTTCTGGGGAAGAGGCATAGCAAAAGAAGAAAGCCTCTCTGATGTACAGGTTCACACCTAAAGCTGAGGGTGGGACAGAAGCATGGAGAAAACCCCTATAGTCATGCAATGCCTTCCCTAAACACAAAATAACACTAGAAGAATTTCAAATGTGGTAAGCACTGAGGGTAGCCATAACAATGGTAAAAACCCATAATTCAATTCTTTTTTAACCCAATACCAAACTAAAGGCCTAGCAAAAACAGAGGTATGATCATTTCCAGGCATAAATACTTCCATGTCTATAGTTTTTCAAACAAGGTGTCCAACTTTCAACTCAAAATTATTAGGCACAAAAAGCAAGGGAAAAAAAACGTAAAACTATTAAGAGACAAAGTAATCAAGATAACCAGACTCAGATCTGACCCGGACATTAAAACTCTCAGAGAGAGAATTTAAAGTAGTTATGATAAATATGCCAAATACTTTAGTGGAAAAGTTGAACAAGATGCATAAACAGATGGAAAATTTCATCAGACTGTTGGAAACTAAAAAGTCAAATGGAAATATTAGAATTTTAAAATATGGTAACACAGATGAAGAAGGCTCATCAATAGACTTGACACACAGCTGAGGAAAGAAACAGTAAATGTGAATACAGGTAAATAGAAATGTCCCAAACTAAAAAACACAAAGAGGAAAAAAAGAGTAAATAAAACAATAGAAGACCTAAGTCCCATACATGTAATTGGAATACCAGCAGGAGAAGATAGGACACGATAAATACGTCCAAGAACTCTCCAAAGTTAATGAAAGACCCGAAACCACATATCCAAGATGCTCAGAAAACACCAAGCAGGATAAATACAAAAAGCAATACTGTACCCAAACTGCTGAAAACCAAAACCAAACCAAAAAGTTTGAAGGCTGTGGCTGAAGGGTAGGAGAATACACCACCAGAGAAGAATGACAATAAGAATTATAGCTGACTTCTTGACAAAATTATTCAAGCCAGAAGATAATAGAATGTCATCTCTAAAGTACTGAAAGAAAAAACTACCACCCCAGTAAAAAAAATACATATATATGTATATTATATGTATATATATTTCAAAAATAAAGGAGAAAGACTTTTCCAGAAAAAAAATGGAGATCACGTATTACCAGCAGTCCTTCAATACAAGAAATGTTCAAAGAAATCCTTTGGGCAGAAAGAAAATATTAACAGACAAAAATCTGCATTTATATAAAGAAATGAAGAGTGCTGGTAATGGTATATATAAAGGTAAAAATCATTTTTCTCACTTTTAAATGCTCTAAAATATCATTGATAGCCTAAAACAAAATAGTGGCAATGTATTGTTTGTTTTTTTGTTTTTGTTTTTGAGACAGTTTCACTCTTGTTGCCCAAGCTGAAGTGTAATGGTACGATCTTGGCTCACTGCAACCTCCACCCCCGGGGTTCAAGCAATTTGCCTACCTCAGCCTCCCGAGTAGCTGGAATTACAGGCATGCGCCACCCATCCAGCTAATTTTTGGTATTTTCAGTAGAAACGGGGTTTCTCCATGTTCGTCAGGCTGGTCTTGAACTCCCGACCTCAGGTGATCTGCCCACCTCGGCCTCCCAAAGTGCTGGGATTACAGGCATGAGCCACCATGCCTGGCTATATTAAGTGTTTAATAGTATATGTAAAGTAAAATTATGGCAATGATCACACAAAGAATGGGAGGAGTGAATTGGGAGTGTATTGTTCAAAAGTCCTTATACTACATGTGAAGCAATATAATACCTGGAGGTAGACTGAGAGTAAAGATA